GAGGAAGATCAGAGGCCATCAAACATATTCAACCCAAATATCACTGCCGTATTAGGTATAGAAGTCAAAAAGTACCAAAGGAAGCTAATAACATAGCAAGTTCACACAGTAGACCCAACACTAGATGTCCCAGAGCAGATGCTACAGGCCAGGAAAGAGTAGGATTATGTATTCACAGTGCTAAAGGGGAGAAAACTCAGCCAAGAATATTGTACCTGTCAAAGCTGTCATTCAGGAATGAGAGATTTTTTCCCATAAGAAGCTGAGGGAATTCATCAGCACAAGATCTGTCCTGCAAGAAATGCTGATGGGAGTTCTCCAAATTGGGCATGAGGATAAGGGAAAGGGTGCTGATGTTTAGTAAGACAACATTTGAATATGTAAGATGGATTGGTAGAAGTAAGTTGCAGATGAATTCAAAATACTCCAAACCAGTACCCATGGTGTATAATCTAATTATATCCTTACTATGAAAACAAAAGACAAACTCTTCAAAGGATTATAACTGTTACAACCTGTCAAGGGATAGGCAGTACAAGAAGATGGAAACTGTTGAAATTCCATATATTTGTAGGGGAATGGAGCTAATGTGTTGTTTTATTGTTTGCCCCTTTGTAGTCAAAGTTGCAGTTTACAGTAACTTATTATAACATTTTGTAACTGTCAGTGTAACCACAAAGCAAAAAGTTACAGTAGATTCACTAAAAGTAAAAAGCAAAGAACCAAAACCCATGGAAAATTAGATAAGCACAACAGAGGGCAGCATGAGAGGAAGAAAAGAAATGATCTATAAGATATCTAGAAAAGTAGTGAAACAGCAGTAGGCAAGTCATTACCTGTCATTCCCTTGAATGTAATTGATTAAAATGTAATTAATTAAAAGGCTTAGAGTTTCTGAACGGATACAAACAAGAATCAACTCTATGCTGTATATAAGAAACCCTTCACTTCTCAGGTCATGCATAGACTGAACATGAAGGGATGGGAAAAATATTATATTCAAATACAAACCAAGAAAACCCCAGCAAAAGTAGCTATACTTAGATAAAATAGATTCTAACTCAAAAACTTTAAAAAAGATCAATACATGAGGATATAACAATTATTGATGTGCTCAACATTGAACAGCAAAATATGTAATGCACGTATGAATATATCCAAAGGAGAAAATAGATGGTGATACAATAGTAGAGTGTGCCAACACCCTCGATGTTAAGTCATGAACAGGTTATCTGAAACTTAACAGAAACTTAACAAAGAAAATTCTGAGTTCAGTAGCATTTTAGACCAAATAGACCTGACAGACACTTGCAAGATGTTCCATCCTACAGCTGAAAAGACATGTTCTCAACAGCACAGAGAACATACTCAGGGATAGACCATACGTTGGTCCACAAAGCAAAACTCAACAAATTAAAAATTGGAATCATACCAAGTAACTTTTCTGACCATAACAGTAAAGGTAGAACTTAACAACAGGAGAAAAGGTGGGAACCATGCAAATACGTGGAAATGAAATAAATACTCCAAAATGACCCATATGTCAATGAAGACAATCCAAAGGAAATTTAAATCTGTGAAAAATTTCAGTTTATTACATAGTTATTACATAGTCTTGAGACAAATGAAAATAGATACACAACAAACCAAAACCTGTGGGACAAGCAAAAACAGTCCTAAGAAAAAGGTCGATAGCAGTTGACAGCCATGTCAGAAATGCAGAAAGATCACAAATACGCATGGCACTTCAAGGAACTAGAATGACAAAAACAAACTAAATCCAAAACTAGTAGAAGGAAAGAAATGACAAAGATCAGAATGGAAGTAAATCAGTAGAGACTAAAAAATGATACAAAACATTAACAAAATACTTGATTTTACAAAAATAAAGTTGACAAACCCCTTAGCTAGACTGAGAAAAAGGCTCAATCAGATGAGAAATTGTAATTGATATTACAGAAGTACAAAGATCATAAACTATTACAAGCTATGCAATAAGTTGAAAAGCCTAGAGTAAATGTATAAGTTCCCGAACACATACAACCTACCAGAGTTGAACCATGAAGAAAGAGAAAACCAGAATAGACCAATAGTAATAACACTGAGCAGTGATAATAAAAAGTCTCCCATCAAAGAAACTAGATAAGGACATAATAGAAAAAGAAAACTACGGGTCAATATCCTGTAGTGTGATGAACACATATGCAAAATTCTCAATGAGATACTAGCAAATTGAATTCAACAGCATATTAAAAAGATAACTGGAAGTGGTATGTAGGTCAGTAGTAGAGCACTTGCTTAGCATATGTGAGGCCCCAGCACCACCAAAAAAGAGAGATCTTTTATCATAATCAGGTGGGATTCATCCCAAGGATGCAATTATGGCTCAACATTCACAATCAGCATGGTATATCACATCAACATTTCAAGGACAAAAATGATATGGTAATTTTCATAGACACTGAAAGATTCAATAAAACTCAGCATCCCTGCATGACAAAGTCTCTTAACAATTAGGTACAGGAGGAAAAACTCAAACCCACAGCTAACATAATAAAAGTTTCTTTTCTAAGATCTAAACAAGACAAGGATGCTCACTTTTAGTACATCTATTGTATTCACCATGGGACTGGAAGACCCAGCCAGAGCTATTAGGTAAGAGAACGAAAGGTCTCCTAAATTGTCCCTGTTGGCAGGTGACATGAATATATATATCTATAATCCTAAAGATTCCATAAAAAATTTAATAAATTCAGTACAGTTGCAGCATACAAAAGTCAATACTATTTCTATACATCAGTAATGAATGATCTAGAAAAGAAATCAAGAAAGCAGCCCCAGTTCCAATGGCTATGAAGGGAGGGTTCTACCTAGTAAATAGGACTGGGGAAGTAAGTCAGTGTGAAGTCCCTGGGCTCAGTCCCCTGTACTGCAGAGGGAAGAGCCCTTTAGTATGATTGCCAAGGGCTACGTCAAGAAAGGTAAGTGGAGAAGAAGATCCTTAAGACTCCCCATCAGAATGTGATGCCCAAAGATTTGCAGCAACAGATGCTGCTGCACCGGCCGGGAGGGCAAGGGCCTGGGCAGCCCAAGGCGCAGGATTCTGTGGTGGGCTGGTCCGAGCGGAATTCGGAATGGATTTGTATTGAGGGTGTCCTCAGTGGGAGAACCCTATGCACTCTGGGCTACCAGTTGTCTACATAATAGTAGGGTTTGGGGCTGGGGGAAGGTGAGGTAGGGTTGCTGTACGTTAAATGACACTTCCTTCCAAGGATGTTAGACTTCTAAATGTTAAGAACTGTTGTCAGTCCCTGGGCCGCCCAAGGGTCTCATTTTTAGATAGTTGTTTAAATGAAGTGATTCTCAACTAAATTATTTCTTGGTTTAAGAATTATTGTTATGCCAGGCATGGTGGCGCACACCTGTAATCCTAGCCCTCTGTAGAGGCTGAGGCAGGAGGATCGTTGTGAGTTTGAGACGAGCCTGGGCTACAAAAGTGAGCTCAAGGCCAGCCTGAACTGCATAGCGAGACCCTGTCTCAAAAAGACCAAAAAAA